TAGGATTTCGAGGTTGTCGTTCTTCACGACCTAAATTTTCACATCTAGTGAAAGTCTTGTGTTGGCGACAGACATTTTCTCTCTAAAGGAAATCCCTAACAAAGCCTCTATCGACAACTCATCATGACGAACAAATACAACATGAAAACTACTTCTTCCTCTTTAGAAGTTACTTTAGAATTTGAACCTGGGATGTAGGGTTCTACAACTTCTAAAATCTTTTTCTGCTTCACCAATCACAAACTGCATGGCAAAAAGTTTCTCAAGTGGTCTCAATCGATCTTTATATGGATCTGTGGTAAGGGAAAAGATGATCATCTCATGAAGGAATTTCCTGTACCAAAAATTACTGATCATAAACATCAGGCATAAAAAATTGAAGATCACATGGCCATGTGATGGCTTGTCAACTCCTTGACCATGAAAATTTGAGAAAACTTTCTTCTGTACAAAATGACAAAAGAAATCTGGGACGCCACAAGGGAAACCTATTGAATTGTTGACAATACCTTTGAGATGAAAGACACTGAAACTAGATTACACAACCTGTGACAATGTGAGTTGAATTCTACTCAATATTTCATCACTCTCCAAATATTGACTCCAATTAGATATGTATGAAGCATACACATGAATGTGCTTACAAGATTCTGCTTTCTACAAAACTATTGTTGAATAGAAGAGAACCTTCAAGTTCCTTTTAGAACTCGACAAGGAATTAGATGAAGTTAAAGGGAAAATCATGGGAACTAAACTTCTTCTCTCAATTCATGAAACTTTTACTGAAGTACAAAGAGAAGAGAATAGAAGAAAATCATGATGATGGGTAATGTCACTACATCAAATGTTGACAACTCGATTTTATACACTCACAAATCGTTATGGGACAACAATTCAAAGAGAAACAGATTATGGAGTGAACATTAAAAGAAGCTTGGCCGTATGAAGGAGAGGTATAGGAAAACTTATGAAATTTCTGCAGATTGGAAGCCAAACAAAGTCAAAAGTGATTGGGAAAATCCAGTGAACACAACATCAAAGAAAGATAAACCTCTTGAACATAGTCCATTCAGTAAGGAACACTTGAAGCTCTCTAAAGGCTTTTGAAACAATATTATGAGTCTTCTACAAGCCTTCCAGCAGCTTCAAGATTGTCTGACATCTGTTATTGTTGCTTTCAATAGGAAGAACCAAATGTGGATAGTGAATTTTGGAGCATCTAATCACATGACGTGATATTACTGCTTTCTAACCCCTCCATTTTTGGAAGCATCACATTGTAGTTAGAACCACATATGGCTCCATTTCATCTAAAGAAGGATGAGGAAGTGTGAAACTCTCAAATGACCTTATTCTATAATCTGCGTTATATATTCCTAAACTTAACGGTAATTTACCGTCTATCGGTAAACTAACTCATGAAATAAATTGTGTTTCTGAATTCTACTCTAATTTATATGAATCTTAGGCAATAGACTCGGAGAACGTGATTGGCAGTGCTGACATTAATCATGAACTTTACCTACTTATTCGGACTCTCCCACTTCAAAAGAACTATCCCATCATTCACAATCCCTTGATTCAAGTCATGTTTCTGAGTGTTTCTCATTAGAGTCGAGTTATGTTAAGACATTTTTGTCTTGGGCATCCTAACTTCTATTAATTTATTTCTCAATAAAAAGCCTAGTTCTTAATAGTGTGAAACTTGAGAACTTGCTAAGCATACTCGATAAGTGTACTCAAACTTGAAATGCAAACTAACACGTCCATTCTCCATGATTCTTAATGATATTTGGGGGCCATCAAAAATAAAAAAATACAAGTGGGGATATGTAGTTTGACAAATTCATTGATGATCACACCAGAACCACTTGGACCTTTCTCATGAAAAAAAAAATTGAAAATGTCAGCATATTTGAAACCTTCCACAACATGACCCTTATCCAATATCAGAGAAAAAATTAAATTGTAGAAAATTATAATGTGAAATACTGCTAAGTCCACTCTCGACCCTTATCTATCCAATAATAACATAATTCATATAGGCTATTTTATTGACACACCCCAATAAAATGATGTGACTAAGAGAAATAACAGACAACTCATTGAAGTGGATCATTCAATATTTTTACTAACAATGTATCCACAGTTTAGAGGGATGCAATTCTCACATCTACTTATCTCATAAATAGGATACCCAATAGAGTGCTAATCTTTAACAGACCTCTTAACACCTCAATAAAATCTTAGTCATATATTCAGTTATTCACCTCTAACTTAGCACAAATTTTTTTTTGTTGCATCACTTTTGTTCGTCTACATTAACCACATCAGACCAAACCTAATCCATGTCAATCAAATGTATCTTTGTGGGAAACTTTTTTAAAAAATGGGTATAGGAGTTACTCTCTATAAATAAAAAAAATTACAACTCCATGGATGTCATGTTCTTCGAAAACCAACAATATTACTTCAAATATAACATTTAGGGGAAGAGTTAGAAAGAATATTGGATTTGGGATATCATCTACGAACCTTAAGCTCACCTCCCTTATATCCATGACATACGCACTTTTGTCCCCACTATTACAAATCAACCTAAAAATGAACCTACTACTCTAATAAATCCTCTCACAACTCACAAAAAATCAAGAACTCTGTGCACACTAGAAAGAAAAAACCAAGTGAGCATCTAAGGGATAATATGAAAAATTAGGAATGCAAATCACTAGAACCAACTCCACACAGCCTAAGTATTCACATGGAAGTTTCAACACGTCATGAACATCAAGAGGAGGAGCATAAGAATGCACAAAATACCAGATAGAAGATTTTGTGACCTATAGAAAATTATCATACTGTTATAAATCTTTTGTTCAGAACTTAGATAAGGTACACGTCCCAAATTAAATTCAAGACTCCTTATCTATGCTTGGAAAAAGACTTTGGAAGAAGAGATTTTTACCCTTGAAAAGAATGATATATGAATAACAACAACTCTACCACCTAGGAAAAAAACTGTATGGTGCAAATGGGTATTTACTGTCAAATACGAAACAGACAAGAGCATATAAAAGTTTAAGACTATACTTACAATAAAAAGGTTGATAATAAGGGAGCAAGAGACATTTGCACTAGTGGTGAAACTCAATACAGTAAGAGTACTATTACCATTGGTTGTCAACCAAGACTAGCCTTTTATATCAAATAGAAATTAAAAATGCATTTCTTAATGAGGATCTTGGAAGAAGTGTATATGGAGATACCTCTAGAGTTAAAAAATAACACAAATAATCAAATGATGTGCAAACTAAATAAATCATTGTATAAGTTGAAAAAAATCTCCCAGAGCACAGTTTAAAAGGTTTATCAAGGTTACTTTTATCAGTGTGTACTATTAGTGTCAAGATAATCATACTTTGTTTGTGAAATCAAATCAAAAAAGTATGATATGCATCCTTATTACATATGTAGATAACATTATTCTTACAGGTAATGACTTAAAAAACTTAAGACAATCAAAAGAATAATGGCTTTCGTGTTTGAAATCAAAGATCTTGAAACTTCTTCATCAAAATGAATGTAGCTAGATCCAACGAATGCATTATCATATCTCAGAAAAAAATATATCATTAACTTATTAAAAGAGAGATGAATGTTGGAATGCAAACCAACAAATACTCCTATAGATCCTAATTAATGAACATGAAAAGAAGAGTAACAATACAATTGAAATAGGGATGTATCAAAGAATTATTTAGAAACTTATTTATTTATCACATACAAGAACTGATGTTTCTTTTTTTATCAGTATATTAAAGCCAACATATGAATGATCCAAATGAAGATCATTTAGAAACGATCTTTTGAATCCAAAGGCAGCTAAAGATAACTCCATGACGTGAATTGATATTCAGGAAAATTGGGAACCATGACATTGAGATATACACTAATGCTAGTTGTGTAGGAGAACTAACTGATAGAAGTTCTACCATGAGTTATTGTTCATTCGTTTATTTGTATTGGGTATCTTTGTTACATGGAGAAATAAAAAAAATCAGTTATGAGGGCAAAAAATTGTACGAAATCTAAGTGCCTTACTCTCTTCCTAGGATTTTGTGAAGAGATGTGGCTAAAGAAATTATTGGTAGAACTTCACATGAAGAATCAAAACACTATAAAGATGTTCAATAATAGTCAATCAACCATCAAAATTTTAAAAAATCATATGTACAATGATCAAACCACACAGAGAAAATGATAAACACTTCATCTTTGAGAAAGTCAATGGAGAGGTTGTCCAACCAAATTATACCCCAACATAATATCACATTCCTCCCATCTTATTAGGGCATTTCCTCGACATCACTTTAGTGATCTCAATAGCAAGTTTGAAATATTTGACATACAATTTAACTTGAGGACGAGTAATGATATGCACACAATTTAGAAAATTTTTAGTCTACTGTTACATTAGAGGGGAGAAAATATTATCTCTTAATGATCTATTATCATGTTTTATTTATTTTCTTTATAACATGATTAAGTTCCCTCTAATTATAAGAGAATTAGTCTGAACTGCACATACATTAGTTATCGACTTAATGAGAAATTAGAGCTTTTTCCTCAAAGAAAATGCTCCTAAATGTTATATAAACAAAAAGCTAAAACAAATATACAACACTGCACTCACAGGTAAAATAACCACAATCTTATTGATTTTTGAACATTGCAAACGCTAGATCACACTTAATTTATGAGGCATGACTCGCACCAGCAAGCAAACGCAATGCACTAAACAAGTTCAGTTTACATGTCTAACACATATACTCTTTCATATCACACAAAAATACCATCATTTTAAAAAGTGAAATACACCTTTACATATATAGTTTAGCCAGTGTGTTCATAAAAATTGAAATTTAGGTGTCGGATATGCAAGCACATGACAATTGAGTGATATGCACGTAAATCTTCCAAGGAAAAAAAAAACACAATCATTTGCAAGATAAATCACAAAAACTCCAAACTCCCCAACATTACAAGAGACAAAATTTTACAAAATGTATAAAAAAACTAAACTGTTCGGAGTTTAGACAATTCTGAAATTGCACTTTGCTCGTATGACTCCTCCCAGTTCCTCCCATCAAACAATCTAACCTCAACATCTGAAATTGTGCCATCATCAACACACTTAACCGTCACTGCAATGCCATCGGGATTCGACCTTGGAATGTAAAAAGACGTTATTCCACAAACCTTACAGAACATATGTTTTGCCGTGTGGGAGCCGAAGCTATAAGTGGTGAGATATCGTTCAGAATCTCCGACGAGTTTGAATTTGGATGATGGAACAATGAAGTGAATGTTGCCTCTCATTGAACAATTTGAGCAATTGCATTGCCATACTACAACATTTGGAGGAGCTTCAACTTGCCATCTTACATGTTTACAGTGGCAACCCCCACTATGAATAACAATCTCAGAACTCATTGCAAGAATAAAAAAATTCTGTTGTTTCATGTCAATGTAAGCAGTTAATCATAATAAATATTTGATAATAAAAGCAAATAATAATTATATGAGTAATTTTGGGATAAAAATAGCAAAAAATAAAAAGTAGATATGTTCAACAGAAAGAAGGATTTGTTAATAAGTCACAGATTCTCCTTCACCAGATTTAAATGCAATGACGCAAGTTCGATGGGAATACCATCAAATTATTAAAGGCAATCTATTTGAGATTTCTCTCTCTTTTTTTTTAATGTGAATGACATCCATGTGATGGGGATGAATTTAACTATTTTTGATATAGCATTTTGCCATTCCCTTAATAATGCTGTTATAGTGACGAATTTCAACTAAATTATCATTAAAAAGAGTAATATCATTCTTTTTATCTATTTTCTTCCTTTAAATTGATAATATCATGTCATTAAAAGACATTAACTATAACCATAGTTAATTGTTTCTAGACAAGTTCATTACAAATTCCTATGTTGGAATTGAAGGACTTGTTCATGATGGGTCATTTCTGCTCCTCAATCTCATTAATTGGTCTATTTTTCTATGTGGGCAGATTACGAAATGCATTAAAAGAGAAGATTAAGAAATTTGAGGACATTTTTGGCATAATTGCTTTAATGGTCTATTTAGACAGTGATAAGTAGATAATTGTTTAGAGGACATTCACCTTACTAAAGGTGGTTGGGATGGGATTGGGCTTTATCACACTTCCTATCATTAATCATTCATCTCATGTTAAGTGGGCATATAAGTTATTATATAAATGGGCTAGATGAATATGCATAATATATTCTAGCATAATTATATGAGCATACTATTATTCTAACTTTATGATTTATTTGAAATTAATATCAACTATATACATATTTTTTTAAGACATAAGTTACATGAATAGTATTATTATAAACTAGAAGAAGTGAAAGATGGTTTGTGGGAGGGACAAACAATTGGTGATTGATATAAGTTTGAACATTCAAATATATCATAGAAAACTCAACATATAAACTTGAACAATAATGAGATTATTTATTTTTTAAGAATAAAAAATAGATACTTCTCAAATAATGCATAATTAGATAAACTTAGAAATTTTTTAAGAATACTAAATTGTGCAATTAAGTCTAACACAAGGATTGAAATGTGTGTGTAATCATTATCCTCCAAGGGTTGCCCCACAAAAAAAAGGCCAAGAGTTTATTGACTTGGCTACATATTTTTCGTAGATGAAAGCATTGCTCAACTTAACCTTGTTATTCAAAGTCAAGAATCACTTATAAACTATAGGGATAATTACATACATAGCATCCGAAACATTGCTATTTACAAAAATCTAGTACGCAGTTGATATTTTTGAACTATTGAACTAATGTATTTATGTGTTTCACAATCAAATCATTAAAAATTTAATAAAAATGAAAAATATGGTTTGGAGTTTTATCATGAATTTTGATATTTGACAGAGAATTTGAAAAATATGACACTAAATAGGACGCAATGGAGAAAAAGGATTCATGTAGCCAACCCCACGTAGTGGGATTAAGGCTCTGTCGTTGTTGTTGTTGAGACAAAGAAGTTGAAAAATGGATGAAAGAGGGTGCTAGATTTGTAAATAGCAATGTTTCAGGTGCTATGCATGTAAACAGCCCGAAAATATAGTATGCATCAAACTTAAGCAAGAGTTTCCATAAAATACATACTTTATTGAAGAGTTGTAGTGCTATTATATTTGATAATTTATTATAACTCAAATAAAAATAAAACATTCCACCTCTCTTTGTTGACTGTTGCATGCAGTGTTAAAACTCTTCTTACCAGAATTTTCTTTCATAACTTCCATCGAAATTAACTTAGGTCTACCCATTTATTAATGTCTAACTCCCAAATAGCAATCTCAATCAATGAAAGCTGTGCAAAAAGCTTAATTTAAACTAGGGTTAACATCAATTACAGTTTTTCACAACAATCAATGCATAGAACAATTCATAAACCCGGACCCAATGCGTTATGATTAGCAATTTTAGCACAAGATTACTGCTGAATCATTCATGAAATAATAAAAAAAAAACTTAATCTAATCCAATACAATATAAGGCTGACTATAGATATTAACTTAGCATGCAATGGTCCAACATGACCAATTTTCATGAGCGATGAATTTATCCAAGAATGAGAATGAAAATTTAGGGCGTAAAAATAGGTAGAATAATGAAAAAAAACAGTATCATTTTTCATAGGTTCATCAATGTCAATGTGGAAAAAAAACAGCCAAATACGGAACAAATACAGCTTTGTGCTTATAATACTTGGGGTTCGTTTGAAAGAATTTTTAATGCTTTCCATAGATTGGAAATTTGAAAAGTCATTTTCACTATTTTTTGATTTAAAACATATTCAAAATTGCTTCTAACATAACTCCATTTGTGTGACATTTAGGACTGTGATTGGGAATGACTTCTCAAGAACTTCAGCAGTTTGCTAAATTAAAAAGTCGAAATTACAATAAAAAACTCTGAATCACAATCAAACGATCTCACGCTGTGATAAAGTTGGTACAATTTTTGAAACCAAAATGATGGTAGGAGGCAAGATAAAAAAGAACATTGTTATTCATCTTTAGCAATAGCAAGATTTTTCTTTCTTCTAAGTGTCGTATCATTATGAGGATTTCCAAAAATTTTGACAAGTTTATACTCACTGGTGAGATTACATTTTTTTTTGTTATATTAATATAATATTTTATAAAATTATGTCAACTTTGACAATTTTTATTTCACAAAAGTAATGAATAAAAATAAAATTAGCAGAATAAAATAACAAATTCATGACTTTTTAAATTTAAAAAATTATGTATATAATCATTTTGCATATTTGTAATTTTTTTATAAAATTAGTAAAATAAATGATATTTGTAATTTATATATGAGCATTTTAATCTTTTACATGAAAAAGCTAAGCTACTAAACCCAAATAAATAAGAAAAAAAATTTTTGGACTGAAAATGCAAAAAAAAAAAAAAAACATTAATATCAAGTTTAGCAACAATAATTTTATAACACAGTTTTCTTAAAGCTATTTTAAAACAAGCGTTTATAAAAAAAAAGTTCAACCAAATAAAACCTTAAACAACGTTAAGGCATAACTAACAGTTCTACATTTTAGCATGCATTCAATCACAAATGTAGATAAATTTAACAGAGAGATCAATAGAGGTAAAGTAAAAGTGAATCCCCGATAGGAAAACTTATCAACCTTGATTTGGGACTTTTTTAGGGTATATTCGACCTTCGCATTTAGGAAACAGCAGACACAATCTCAAAAGCCATTCCAAATGAACTTTTAACTTTCCGTTCAAAGGAAAACAACAAAGAAATTCCTTCAAACGAACACTAAAACTCACTGACCACCCAATCAAGTGTTAAACATTTCGAGAGAAAGAAAACATAGATACACAAATTAGTCCGATGAACAAAAGAAACAGAGGATCACTTACGCCTGAATTCAATCTGAAAAAGAAGTGTCAGAATTGGCGGCAGGAGCGGAGATGGATTGCTGGAAAGCTTCGGCACTGATCCCAGCTAGGGCTTTAGAAGGAGGAGGTGGGAAAATATTTGCGCAGGTAATAACCAAATTGCGCTTCTATAATTCTGATAGGTACAGGGGATATAATGCGGATATAAATTTTTTGTACCATCTAAATAATCTCCAACATGCAAGTATTTTAGAAAATTTACATGCGGACCACCCATTTTTATTTATTTATATAAGAAACACTTAATGTTTTTTATTTACATTTATAATATTTTAAACTCATAAAATTATATTTAAATTTTAAAAATAAATAATAATGATATTTTTTTAATTTGATATGAAAGAATTGGGTGTTATGTATATGAATATGGAACTAGATCTATTAGGTATGTAAATAGATAAGAATGATGTGGTATGCATGTAAATTGATAAATATTAAGTTAATAAAATTAATATTACTTATTATTTTATTAGATTAAACTCTTATGCTTAATTTGATCTGTAACTTCTTAATTGATAATTTGATTAAAATGATAAGTGATATAAATTATAATTTAATAATTGCAATAAAAATTGATAAAATATTAAACCATTATGAATAATTATTATTACTAAATTAGAAATAATTAATTAAAATAATATCATTTAATTAAAATTGAACAAATAGAAATTATTATTTATTTATTTTCGTAAATTTCCAACTAAAAATTAATGAAGTTATCATTTTATGCTAATTTTTAAATAATTAATTCAATTGAGGCGCATATAGATTATGTTAATATGATAAAATATCATAAATATATAAATTTATGGGTTTAAATGAGTTGAATTGAGCTTGAGCCACCCTCAATTTGAGCGCAAGCTTGATTAATTAATTTTAGGGCTTGAGTTGGCTTATTTTTGATAAAAGAGAGAAAACAATATTAATTTATGTTAGTGTTATTATAGAATGATAAAAAAAATGAGAAAAATGAGATAAATAATAATAAATCACTTATTATAAAATATTAAAGATATTTTCTTTAAAATATTTTTAATATTTTAAAGAAAATTTCTTAAAATTTAAAACATTTTGAATATAATTAAGGTAATATTTTTTAAACTAGCAAGCTCACGAGCTAATCAGTCGACTTGGGGTTAGCTAGAGCTTGGCTTATTAGTACATCAAGCTTAAGCTAATGATCTACTTGTTAAATCGAACCTAAGCCGGCTCACAAGTTAGCTTGACTCACACCCCTAGACAAATCTTTAAATCATGAAATAAGTGGCCAAATTTACCTAGATTTAATGATATTTAAATTCTATTATATCGAATAGTTTTTGACATTTAACTTGTACAGACTATACATTTAAAATAGAGATATACAACAAGAATGCGTCCACTCGAATCTCGAGGAGGTGATAGGAGACATAAAGAATATGAATTATTCATCATACGATCGGTCAGAATCATATGCCAACCCGTTGAAGAGAATGAACGACCTGACACATATCTCACAAGTGCATCAACACTTACTTCCCAGTAACTGTCATCATGAAAATCAATAGTCGCCTAAGATGAAGTTCTTCAATATAAACACATTCACGGAAAGTAGGCTACTTGTCAGATTATGTTGAATCACCATCTACTAGATGAAACAATCCTACCAAAGGACGACGTGTCCTTACATTCAATCTCTACAGAATGGGCGATCGAAGATCATTAAGTCGACTGAAGAATGTTTGGTCGGTCAAATGAATCTTGGTCGATTGAAAAAAATTCAAGTAACCAAATTTGGCAATTACCAATGTAAAATAGTGTTTAAAACAATTACAGAAATATAAAAACTCTAACAATGATTACAAAGTCAGAATAAATGGTATTTAGTTACAAATACGTAAATGTAATGACTCATCAATTATAGTAAAGTCCTCTTTTTAAACAGGGACAACCATGTAATTACTAGATCCTACCTAAGAATTATAAATAGAAGGATCATTTTCAAGAGAAGGGACTCCGAATAGAATTTGGCTAAAAACATAAAGTGTGTTCAAATCTTAGTATTTCCTCTTTCCCCCGACTAATGTTCTATTCTTTGGTTGTGATCCACAGAACAATTTAGGATTCAACATTCTAAAATGTGTTGTGAGTGTGCATACATTCTACAAGATGATGAGCACATCAGGGTGAAGGAAAACGCCAAGGAGAAACGTCTGACATGGTGTCTGATCAAGAATTTGTACAATCACAAATCGAGGGACTCCCTGATCTGATGACTGGACAGATTACAGTGCTAGCCCGAGTAGTGCTTGAGAGAAGGGTAGAGCCTCTCCCACAACCCAATCCACAACACTCGAGCCTCAAGTTCAAAAGGTTGCCCTAGTAGCTAAACGAATGGAAGAGATTTGGTACCAGGATAGTGCTAGATCCATGCAAAAGGGAGAGCCACAGCCAGAAGCAATAAAAGTTTAGCACCAGATGAATAATGCATTCACCTGACATATTGTGGAAGCCAAGCCACGAGAGGAGTTTAAGGTTCCCACCATGGAACCATATAAAGGTCGAAGGGACCCCCGCTAGACATATTACATCCATCGAGTTGGCAATCTACTTTCTCGAGATCTCTGATGCTTTAAAATGATGGTTGTTCTATGCCACACAGAGAGATTCTGCTCTCAGATGGCTCAATGGACTTTCCATAGGAATTATTAATTCCTTCAGAGACTTCAAAAAGTTACTTTTGGCGCAGTTTGCCAGCGCCCAAAAGCGACAAAAGGATTTGGAATCTTTGTGATATATAAAATTAGGACCGAATGAGAGCAGAGCCTACGGGTATATGTTTCTAGAAGGAGATGCTGAGGTCTGGAACCTAGAGCTGGCAATTACCAAGGCAACACTGGCATAAGGACAAAAGAGTCCTTAGTTCCAATACTATTTGAGTTTAAGGATATCTGAAACATTGGCTAAACTCTTGAAGTTGGCCAATAACCATATTCCAGCTAAAGAGCATATGAACCAACCAATTTTCAAAGGTGAGAAATCAGATTGATAGTCAAGCATTAACAAATTGAAGGATGATGGATGGAGAGATAAAGTTAGCCCTCATAAAAAATGTGAAAGAGATTGTTCCTTCCGAAGACATAAAGAAGACGAACGAAACGGACACAAACGTAGTCGATCGAATGATCAGTCTACAAGAGATAGAATGATGTACAAGTTTATACCACTTCGAGTTCATATGGAAAAACTTGTAGATGCAATAGAAGACAAGGAGTATCTATGAAACTAGACTCCAATGAAACCTGGAGCTTCCCTCTGTAACCCTAACAAATACTGTAAGTATCATTGAGACCATGAGTATGACACCAAGGATTGCAGGCACCTCTGTAGCCTAGTAGAGGAGCTAATCTAGGCTAGAAAGCTAAAAGCATTTGTAGCCTTGGAGGCTTACACTCAACGGAATGACAAGGCTTTAGCTAAAAGCATATGTTAGGGCCTGACTTGACCCACAATTACACAATTATTTAAGTTCAGAAGTATGTCCAAAAGCTTGACCCTGTTTATATTTAGCGACTGGTGTGCAAAATTAAAAATTCCATATGGATGATAAATATGTTTACACGATAGGGATACTACATAAGTATATGTATCGTTTCAAGTAATATATAATTTTCTTTATTAACTAAGTATCGATCCCACGTAGATAGCCAAAACTCTGATAAAATTAACTTTAATAAAACATACTTTTAAATTGTGAAAAACTTATATAGTAAATGATCAGAAGTTTTTGTGTAATATCTAATACTATAGAATTAAAGGAATACTAAGTATACTAAGCAAATGCAAAATGTAAATGCAGGACAATTTTAAAAAAAGGTTTTAAAATGTAAAGTTACCACTAATCTAAAATAACAATGTATAAAAAGTTCAAATTTGTTTAAAACATCTTTCCCCTTGCAATGAGTTTATAATTAATGTAGGAAAATAATTTTAAAATATAACTAAGGTATTGTGCCAAGTAGGAGTAATTCTATTCTTTACCCCTTGTCAAGTGCATAAAGAATATTGGCTAATCCAGAGTTTGGTCCCTAAACCCGTGGTTAGGTGACAGCGACTTTATATATGCTTAAAAATACAAGTAATTAATACTGCTGCTAAAAGATTTAATTCCTCAGCAACGACACCAAAAACTTAATAACAGTTATAGATTCGATAAAGATGTATATATAAAATATTCAGTAATAGTAAAGTCACACTTATCAACGCAAGTATACGTATCACTCAAGTAATATAGGGCTCTAATGGAGTCCTAGATATCGATCTCACAAGGAGTAATATTAGAACTACGAACCAATATTTTAGAAAAGTAATACTTAATCACAATAATGGAATTCAAATTGACTATCTGTCACAAATAGGCAATTAAAATAAATATGTAATTTTAATAACTATTAAATAACTAAATATACTAATGAAGGTTTGAATGTGATATTCAATATATAAGAAAGCATCCTTCTCCTTGTCAAGAAATTATAGTGAATGGATAAAGTGAATCAGTTCAAATTGTATTGTGTCAAATAAAAGCATACTTATTCTTTATCCTTTGGTTCAGACATAAAGAAAATTGACTAATCCTATGCATGTTTACTGAATCTGCGGCTAAGATGGGAGGATACCGGCTCTCATTTCGGAGCTCCCACGTTCTCCTCGCCTAAGGGCTAACATTTACACTTCAGCAGCCAAACGATAGAACCGAATTGGGGATTTTAGTTTGTCACTCCAAAATCTCTAATTCTATGCCCGATAATTTTATTTCCCTATTTATATGAACCCAACTTCTAAGGGCTTTGACCTTCCTGAATCTTGAATGTAATCCTCACTTTAGTTGCAAACTCAATTTAGTTGTAAAACTCAACTGGCCAGATTGAAAATAAATTAAGATCAAAGTGAAAAGATCATCACAATTTCTTTAACATTTTCATGGCTTATATCACCATTTCACAAATCTCAAGACAAAGAGAAAGACAGAGAAAACTACTCAGAACTCATGGGGAAAACACTATAAAACTCGGAATTCATATATAAAATCCAAGTCATACAAACTACAACAAGTAAATAACTTATCTCTAGTTTCT